AAAAAAAAAAAAACTCATAAATTTGATTTTTACGATGAAAATATGTTTTCCACATTAAATACATTAAATGTTGGTGTATTGTGTGAAACCAAGTTTTTTCGGACACATTGACTTATTTTTTTTATTTTGGTCTCTATTTACTATTTTTCAAGATTTTTTTTCATCATTAAACTTTTGTTTCAAAACTTGACTTTTGCGATGAAAATAAGTTTCAACATTAAATGTTTGTGTCATGTTCGAAACCAAGTTTTTCCGGACGGCATGACTTACTTTTCTATTTTTGTCTATTTACTATTTTCCATGACATTTTTTTTAACACTTAATTTTTGTTTCAAAACTTGTTTTTGCGATGAAAATATGTTTTCCACATTAATAAATAATGATGTTACATTTTAATATTTTTAAGCAGATACCATGAGAGAGAGTAGTTCAATTTTTTTTTAAGTTTCTATACCTGTGCCGCTACTGAGTTAGGCTCGTCATTGTTTAAAGATCTTTCACGTGTGTTGGAAGAAACAGCACAATTACTCGGTTCATTTCCATTTCCACCTAATTTACAATTGCTCAGCTCAGTCGGGAGATTCTCATTGTCGTTAACTGATTTCACTCTCTGGAAAAGGAAAAAACACAGGAAAGTCATAAATTTTTCATTTTCAACGAAACCCACATAAATGGAATCTATCGAGAAAGTAAAGCGCGTATATATTGTCTCACCTGGAAAATTTTACCTAGAGTTTTCAAACCCTTTGCGCGCAAACGAAGCTCCTCTTTCTTTGCATTGCTATCTTGCAGAACCTAAAAGGAAAAAATTATATTCATCAGAATTGATAACAATGATATATCGTGAAAGGACAAGCGAGTATTCAAAGAAAGCAAACCAGCTGACAAACGCGGGAGAGGGTATTTTCTATATCGGCTACGTTGAGTTTCCAGAGGGAGTCGATCATTATTTTCTTATGTGATTGCATGTAAGCCTCGAGTTCTTCTTCCGTGTAATTTCCTTCAGCATTAAGCTGCTTTTTCATGTCCTCTTGAAGCTGGATCAAAGCAATTGCACCTAACGAAACAACACCTCTCAATATTATTATACCACAAAACAATATTATAGGTTCGACTCAACTTGTCCTCTGAATCCCACTTTACCAAACGTCTCGGTTTTTTTGGCAGTTGTCTTTAAGAGAATGAATAGCTCAGATTCAATGAGTTGAGATCTATAGGGATAGGAAAACACTGTAATTCCAAGGTCATGAACAAATGATTTTTTCAGCGTGAAATTTATTTTTCTGTCTGTATTCTCCCCGTATGCAATTAATGTTTGTACTATAACAGAAATTAGATAGTTGATTGTATTCACAATCAACTAACACTAACTAACCAGTAGCAGCAGTTACTTGGGACTTGATAAAGTGTCCTTTATTTCTAAACCATTCAGCAACAAACGGCACGCCTAAGTACATCACCTTCTTCCCAAGCTCTTTTGCTGCCTGCCTTGAGTATATATATCCAATGGTACTCAGCATATCCACACCATAAGCTGCAACAGAGAGTTAACACGTCAAGGAAAGAGAGATTCTATAAATGTGACAAATGAAATTGATAGATATATATTTATTACCAGCGTTGGAAAGCTTTGCTACTTCAGCCTCAGCTTGACGAATGAACTCTTCTTTGTTCCCTTGGACATAAAGGTTGAGTCTATCTTTAAGTATACCGGCAAGTTTCTCTTCCCTTTCTCTTTGGACATTCTAAAGTTACGCATAAAAAAGAAACTATCAAAGATATATCAAATAAAAACTCCAGTAAACGAAATGAATAAAAAACTTCATCAATCAGGATGATGTCAGAGGACAACTATTTCCATGTCACAAAATAACCTGTTCAACTTGAACTATTTTCGATGAATGAAGTCAGTCTGGTAATGATGGTAAGCAAGAAAAAATCAATCACCTGTAAAGTGCTTTTTTTTTTTTTTTTGCCTTTCAACGATTCTTACTTAGTAGTCAATCATATCAATAATTTTCTATATTAACTACTACGTATTTCTAAGGAGATTACAGAGAGCAATTTCTAATAGAAATCATGTTCTTCATCCTGGCAGGTTTTGGTTATCCTTCTCCTTCTGTTTTTAGATGGACAGACATATCATAGCATCTATAGTGAATTTTTACCAGCTGTCCGTAAAAACTGATAGAAAATCGCTACTTCAGTTCAAAACAAATTTCGATGCTACTTCAGCCTCCTATCACAAGAAAGCTTTTACATGGAACGAAGCTCACTAAAATGGAATGTATCTTCGATCAATTTTAAGTCACGGCTAGTTTAGAAAGTCGGGCTGTAAAGAATCAAGATTTGCATCTTACTGACAAATGAATATCAATTATCAAACACATTTTATGTCACTGGATTTTGAAAATTCACAGAATATCAATCAATCAAACAACAAGCCGTTAAAAATTACTAACCCCATACTACTTATCAATAAACATAACACTTTATTCTCCAGAGCAAGACACAATTTTAAAACTAAGGCCAAATATATACATATATTAACGAGAAAATAATATTGATAAGTCTTCATAGCTCAGAGCCTTGAACAGACATAGAAGTTCTAACTATATGCAAACCCCTGTTTAACCTGTATCAAACAAGAAGAGCAGTTGATTGTCTTGCTCCAAACTTTTCTACCAGACAAAGAAAGAAGACCAAAGCATATAATAGTCACGTTAGCCTCATATGGTCTTCCTGATCAAGCCAACATGTACAATGTTAGCTAAGTTCTCACATCAGATAAACAGTGTTACAGTGTAAACAGTGCTGTAGTCAATGTCCATAATACATCTGTAATGAGCTAAGGAAGTTATTACCTAATTGCACCCACATATCAGAATCTCAGTAAAGAGTCGAGATATCTTCCATTAAAACACAGAATAAAGTCACAAGAGTTTGCATTTTCACACTCAAGTATTTACCAGGCAGTAGTGCAAAACAAAAATCCAAAAGCGGATATCGATTATCTGTACCACCTTCACATAATCCTTCAATTTAGACATCTTACTTTCATAACCTTAACAATGTAACATAAATCATAAATCAGAAATTCAGAATTCACACCCGCATTTTTTCCTGCAACTTTTTCACATCAACAGCTTCATCTGTGGAAATATCCAAGGAAGCCATTGATGCCATGGCAAGCTGACCAATGTATTCCTCAAAAAGCTCACTTCCGAAGAGCATCGCGAAAATTGCTGCAGGATCAATAATCGAATCTCTGAAAAGAAACAATGATGAAAAAAATGCAATCCGAGTAGAGTGAGTTAATCCATGAAGCAAAGAACCACCATTATATAAAGTTATATATCTCACAGATAATAAAATACACTAACGTTGAAATTCCTGATTTTCCGTAGGCATCATAAGCTTGTCTTTGTGATGGATCACTCAGCACTTGATACGCCTCACCCAAAATCTGACAGAGAATTCAAAAGCAATGGGAAACTATCACTACTTAAGAGATATGGATATGTTTTATAAAAGGGAAAAGTATAAAGAAACTACTAGCTCACTAGTCTAATAACATGTCAGATATCATGAAACTCTTCTTGCCAAGAACCTAAAGCTTGTGTTAGAAAGAATTCTAACCTTGAAAAAGGAAGAAAAAGCTTTTCACAATTTACATTTCATGTACTGCTATCATTTATATTCAAATTACTTCTTACCAATCACTTTCTACAAACGAAAAAGACTACCGCCAACAGTAGTACAAATGAAATTGCATTCAACATTTTGCTTATGATAATCCGAGTGTTTTTTTTTTCAACCAGATTTCACAAGTACTATTGAACTATAACCCTAAAAGTACATCTTGTATTAGCTAGTTGAATGTGGCTTTTTATTTTAGATAATTTAATAACAAAGAATACAATATTAACTTGCAATATAAGTGTTTAGAATCAAGATGTAATTTCACTACAATGCCTCAACAGGATTTTGGCCAATAATGAGAAAACTTGGGATGTACCAGTAATTAATTGGCAGTGAAAATTCTTCGAATGGATTATCTTTATGATGGCATAATATATATGCCACCACATAAGCGGCAAGGTCATATTTGCTCATTCTTTTGAAATTATATCAGCATAATTTTCTTATTTCCAAGAGATCCTCTATACATTCAAGAGACTTGTTTTTCCTTTTCATTAGAACTTAAACATCCCGCTTATTATCCAAAGAAGGTATAAATCCAAGCTTCTTACCATATGAAGGGCAAGTATGATGCGTATCAAATTTTCCCTAATGAGTTCAACAAAACAACCAAAAAAAAGGGCATGTTTAAAACTGTAAAGTTAGTGAGCTCACCTGAAACTTTTGTGCAGCCATAGGATCATTTTGGTTTTTGTCTGGATGAACTTGCCTAGCCTACAATATTACAATTCATACCAGATAAACTTATAGTGACCGTTCGAGATGAAAGCATTCAACAATATAAATAAATCAGTGGCACATAGCACAAAAATATAAACCCATTCCATCGACAAGTCCAAATAATCTTTCGGCGGAGCAAGTCCCCTTTACTTTGAGAATATAGTAATTAACAACATATAAAGTAGCACTTACTAGTAAGCGAGTTTCGATGCAGAAGCTATACAATTCGACTAATAAAGCTAAAAAAGAGTTCATCTGATAAACATATCCAGAAAACAGAAACTACACATGCGCACTTTTACCATTCTAATGTCCCCATACATAAACATACTCGAAATAGGGTGGAATAATATCGATCTTTTTAAGGAAAATAGGGCAGACAACCTGCCCACCATGTTAAATCTCGAATCGATCAAGAACGGAACAGTGAAAACAACAACGCGGCCGCACAGCAGACAACAAGATCGTACCTTGACATAGTAAGCCTTCTTAATCTCGGCCTCGGTTGCGGTGGGGCTCACACCCAACACATCGTAGTACTCCGTCTCCTTCACCATGGTTGCTGACCCTAGCTGCCCCCGATCGAAGATTACGAAGAAACTCCGATGAGATCACTGCAAAAACGGTTCTTACACGATCAGATTCTGCCGTCGGCCAAATTAAAAAGGGGAAAAAACGAAAGGCGAAAAAAGGAAGGAACCCATAAAAACCCTAAACAAATAGATGAGAAAAAAGGGATCTTTTTTACCTTGAAATTGGTATGGAGATCGAGCTGCAGCTCCAATGGCGTTGACTCGACTGGGAGCGAGTAAGGACTAATCTGAAAAGGCATAAATGTTTTGAGGAAGATAAATTTATTGGAAAAAAAAAAAAAAGACAAAAACAAAAGAATATGGGGAGATATTAATAAAAATAGTTTTATTTCTAAAAATAATTTAAAAATTATATACTTTTTATATGTAATATAAAATGGGGGTCAAATCAAAAATAAATTTTTTAATTATTTTTTTGGGGACAATATAAAAAAAAATACAAATAATTTTAAAATTTGTAATTTTTATATGTAATATGAGGGTCAAATAAAAAATTATTTTAAGGTGATTAACTTGATATAACATATATGAAACTTGACAATAAAAAAACTATAAGATTTTAAAAATATTGTAAACTAAATCGATCAATTATTTTATAATTTTAAAAGTACTAATAAACATTGATAAAAAAATTAAATATAAACTAGTACCAACCATATGAAAGTTTCAAAAATTCTAAATATAAACTACTACGCATAAATTGTAATTTATAAAAATTTGACACATTAAATTTTGAATTACCAAAAAGTTGACACTTACACTTATGATTAAAAGAAATTTACATATTGAACCCAAAAAAAAAAAAAAAAAATTGCATATTTATAAAACACCAAAAATAGAGTTATTAGTTTATACTTGTACATATTTATCTAGGGGAAGAATTTGAAATGAGTATAGATATTTTTCAGTATTTAATTTTTATTTATTTATTTTGAACAAAATATAATATATTCAAAGATACACGATTCTACATATACTATGTGAGTGCAGGTTAATTTCAGCCTATTGCAGTAACCAAATTTTTTACCGTTCGATCAACATGTACCCGTATAGTACAATGAAAATAAAATACGAAACAGGAAAAAAATATTGAAATTTATTCCCCCATAAGGGTAATTCCATAAAGTCGTAAACAAAACAGCACCCAAAAAAAAAAAAAAAATCTCTCTATATATAGATATCAACTCAAAAATAAAAAAAAATAAAATAAAAACATGTAAAATTTGTAAATAGTGTCACACTTTCCACATAAAACAAACTCTTTCTTCCTCTGCTCATCCAATTTCCACTACACTGTTAAAAAAAAAAAAACACTGACTGATTTTCATGTAGCTCAAGCAAATTAAATGGGTGATAACTGATAATGGTGTTCTGCAGAAATAAATTAAATGAAGTTAAACACTATATATAGCCTTACACAAAAAAATATCACAAACCGGGACCCGACAACCCCGATAAATCGAACAGCCACTATTTGGCCTCTCCAAGCTCGACATCCTTAAGAGGGATCGTCTCGATTCCCTCCTTGAGCAACCTAAATTCCTCCTCAGTCAAACTGTTTTTCACGTGAGACGTTAATTTGTTGCCCTGTTGCTTTTCAACTTCCACGGCCCAACTGTAAATCACCATGCCAATAACCGCAACAATCATTCCCAAAATGTTTTTAAAAGTCAACTCCGAGTCGAAAAGCAGCCAACCCAAAGTCAAAACGCATACAGTCTTCATGTGACCCAATACTTGAAAGGACACAGCCGAAAAACGCCCGATGCAGAGATATTGGCTCACGTTGCAGAAAACGGCAAGAGAACATGAGAGGATTATAAATAACTGCATTATATAATAATTGTCAACTCAGGTTAGGGGAATGTGAAAAAAAGTTGTTCGAGATTTGCAGATAAATCGTGTGAACGAATTTTCTGTAAAACTTACGATGGCTCCACCACTAAAATTGAAGTCGAAAATCAATTTTCCGGAAAGATAGTAGTCGATAATGGGGCCCGTCACGAGGAGAGAGCAAGCTTGGATGGGAGCTGTTTTGCTCAACAGTTCGAACGATCCAATGGAGTACTTTTTCTGCAGGGATCCTATTGACTGCACTCAGAGAAATATCATTAAGTAATTATCCACAAGCATGAAAGTTGAAAAAAAAAAAAAAAAAATTGTTTCATATGTCCTGTTATTTTCTTTATCACCGATGACGTGATTATAGGTTCGATTATTTGGTTCGGGGGAATTGCTTCCGTAGAGAAACATGGAATGGAATAATATTCCATGATACTAGTGAACAGAACAAATGCTTTATACTCAATTCAGAAAATATAGTGAACAAAATATGTGATACTGCACCACCCTAATATCTAGAGTTTGTTTGTTTATAAAATAATTCAATTCGTACTCAAAATTTAACTCAACCACACTATCCTCAGTATTATTAATATAACTAAATAATAAAAATCGATCGATTTTACACATAGCATTATCTTTAATTTACTATTCATCCGCGCACATAATTTTAACTAACCATCACTTCACATAGTCTCTCTCCTACTTTTTACATCTCCTACTTTTACATCAAATGAACTTTAATTATTTTATGCTTAAATATTATTTTAATATAAATTTAAAATTCCACTAACAACTAACCATACACCATTATTCAAAAGTAACCCTGGATAACCAAAAAACTCATTTGAGCGGATAATTTTGTACCGCCTAGAAATGCCAGAGCTAATGTCATCTTGTTAAGTAGGATTATTCACAGAATTACGAAATTCGAACAGTTCTACTCACAATTTGCTGTAAGGATGTTGCGAAAACTGCCACACAAGCACAAAGAAACCCTTTGGCATTCACTTTGACATCGGTCACAGTGCAAACGCCAACTCCTATAACCACAACCACGACAGATACTTTAACTTCGTTCGAGTATTTCTTATTGTGAAGGATCCATTCCATAATGCAAACCACAGGAATCATGCTCAGCTTTGAGATCTACACCAAAATAAACCAACAATCTGATTATTCCAAAAATATTTGAATTACAATAAATTGTACTGAACTAGATGAAATAAAACCACAACGCAGTAGACGAGTTTTGATTAAAAGCTGCTACATGTCTGATTTTAGATCATGATATGAATAATAGTACGGTTTAGATTCTAAAAGACGAAACATTACTTGGCTTTTCCTATCATGTTGTGACAGTAAAAGCTGAAGAATGTTTCACAGCTCAGAAATAAATGGAACTTTCCGTAATTAGATTCTTAGAAAACTCGCACAAGTTACAGTGTAAAGGATCATTTAATGAAAGCCACTACCCACCAAAGCAAATAAGTAGAGCTTTTATTGATAACATACTTGGTAAAATCCGACTGAGTTGAGCATAAGGCTCAGGTTCATCCCAGTGATGGACAGATTTGCTACAATGGAGAACCAGAGAAGTTCCCAAAAGGGCACGTGCTTCGATGCAGACAAGCCCGTTGCATTTGATATCATACCAACAAGTGCAGTAACACCAAAGTGAAAACCAGTCAATGTTGTTGCTGCACAGAACATAAACAGAAATAGAAACTACGGTTATAAAAATTCTAAGTACAATTGGATTGAAAAACACGACAGATAAAATATAACAAAATGAGTAAGATTAAGGGACTTCACAGATACTCATTGAAATTCAGCATCCAATA